TCGCTCTTTCTTTCCCCCTCTCCCACCTCTTCGTCTTCCATCTCTTCCTCCTCCTCCTCCTCCTCGTCGTCGTGGCCACCATCTGCGTCTGTCTCCGTCTTTTCATGAACGGCAGCAGCAGCAGCAGAAGAGAGAAGATTGGAGGAAATCGCGAGGACACCGTCCCCGCTGTAGTTGCATGCCTCAACAGCGTTGCTGCCGCTCACGTCGTGCTCCTCACCCTCCGTCGGCACCGCCATCGCCAGGCTGCGGTAGAGCTCGTTGAACTTAAAGAAGACATCGGCGCGATTCTCGAGTTTCGGCACATACGACGCGGAGTACGGGTACGGCAGGTCGCGCGGCCGTGGGCACACCGACATACAGTACGTGCAGCGTACAACGGCCTGCCGCTCCTTTGCATGCAAGTCCACACGCACGCTGTTCTTTAAACGACACACCGGGCAGTCAAACGTCGTCAGGCACTGCAGTGAGCGCTGGAACTTTGAGCCTCCTGTCAGCGACTTTTGGAACAGCCTCTTGTCACCGTCCTCCTTCTTGGCACCTTTCTGCAGCTTCTTCTGCATGAAGGAGCGGCTGTGGCGCGACAGAAGCGGCGCCGAACCGCCATCAGCACCCCCACCGCCGCCGCCGCTGCTGTTGCCGCCCCCCGCTGCCTCCATCGCTCGCAACGACACCACCGCCTCACTTCTCCCTAATCCTCCTGCAGGGAGTCACACGCACGAGCGCACACCACACATAGGCGCAGACAAGAAACGAATGAAAGAGAAACAAAAAAAGACAGACATCAGTGCAGCAAGAGATAGATAGATTGAAAGATAGAGAGAGTTGCATTCGAGCTGCTCGGGTGGGTTTCGCATAATCGCCTCACCAACTCAGTCGGCGATCCCTCAAGCAGGAGCATATCACCACATGCAGCCCAAAACGGAACGGAGAAAAAGCGGCGCTGCCCCAAAACACACCAATCGGCACTCACCCCGCTCCGTTCAGTCGCCGCAGCAAAAGAAAAAACAACAACAAAAACTCCCACGGTTCCCCGCTGATAACTCCCCCCATCGGAATGTCTGTGCGCAGCAACGCGTCCATCCCGTTTGTATCGGCTCTCATTGAAAAGTCCACGGGGAAAAGCTGCAATGCAACAGGATCCCTCAGACGCTGGTGCAGCGACGCCTCAACAGCACATACACATATTTCCCGTCGACCCCGCAGAGATGACCAACCGCACAAACACGATCCCGGACACGCACTCCCTGATGCCGTGCGGCGCTTCAACCTCAACGCGGTCCACGAGCGCTCCATACAAGCAGAAACTGTGCAGCTCCAACCCAGAGGCGCGCGAAGCCGGGGGTGTGTGGTCAGCGCCCTCACCACACGCGGGGCAGCGTTTCTTTTTTTTTTCCCACAGCAGCCAATAGTGCTGGCTTTTCTGCCAGCAACTACTCGTCTCATCGGCCACCTCCGCCGCCAGCTCGTCCATGCGTGCCGCGTCGTGCAGCAGGCGCGGAAGCAGGTCGGGGGAGAGAACGTTACATCGCTGCTCGTCGCAAACACGAAGGGCATCTTCCTGCCTGGCCAGGCATACCACACAACTACAGCACCATATTTCTTCCTTCTAAGGTATTTTCAACAGCACGTTTAGAATGATGCAGTCAATAGAGAGTCAAGGCAACACGGGGAGGGGTTACAAATACCATTCCTTCGCCATTCCACCAGCCCTCACACCTTAGCTGCAGCAATAACTGCCACGACGACAACATCAACGGCCTNCCCCCCCCAAACACCTCGTTCTAGAACGCAAAATCGTCCACCTCTTCGTCCTCCCCTGATGCGGCTGGCTGGAAGAAGTACGTCCCGTCGTCCTCTTCGTCCTCCAACTCGATGCGGTGCATGGCAGAGACGCCACCCGCGTCCCTGTCGTCGATGCGCGAGGCCGCTGGGGGTTTGGGCACAAGCTGCATCAACCCCGCCCGTGCTGTTGCTGTGTCCACATCAATGTTGTGTTCCTGCAGAAATTCACGGTCCTGCTGTAACAACTCCTCGCGGAAGCGGAAGAAGACATCGACGGGCTTCTCCAGCGGAAGGAACGGGTACTCCTTGCCGGAGCCGGCACGACAGGAGCGGCAGTGTAGTCTGGCGGATCCTGTGTTGCGCACAAGCCGCACTGCGATAGAGTTCTTCGCATCACACAGCGGGCAGTCAAACCGCGTCGGGATCTTGTACTTGCTCTCCTTCTTGATGGGCGCCGCGGCCTTCTTCTTCGTCCCACCCATGGCCTCGCAGAGTATGAACTGGCAACAGCAACAACAACACACACACACGCAGGACCCAAAGTGCTGCTTTGCAGGAGGAGGGAGAGCAAAGAGAAGAAGGAAAAGGAAAGCGCGACTCTCATTGTGCAATTCTCTTAATGGGGGAAGGGGGAAATAACGCAGTTGCTGTCGCACACACTCTTGTCAACATATGTTTTCTTTTTTTNGGGGGGGGGGGGGGGGGCAGAGGAACCGAACGTTTCGCTTCGTTGTATTCGTCGCACTTGCGCAATTCTTCTTCGTGGTTTCATTTCGTTCTTCCTTCTCTCTCTTTTTTTTTTCTTCTCCCCTCCCACCCATTTAAACGTCTATTCCCTCATGTTTTTTGTTTTGTTTGTTAGACGGGCACCCGCACCGTGAATCGGAGAGAGCCACACAAACACAGACCGACGCAGGTGCCACTCCCGCGACGGGGGACATCCTTGTTCCGGTGCGTGGGACTCCGCGCGTTCTCCGCTGTTACTTTCGCTTCTTCTTCGCTGGGGGCTCCACCCCCCCCTTCTCCGCGCCCCCTGCGCGTGCCGCGCTGCCGGTCGGCGCGGCTTCCCTCTTGGTGTTTTCAAGTGCAGATACCCAGTGGGTTGCCAGACGCGCCTGCGTCCTTTTCAGGTATTCGTCCGCCTCATCAACCAACAGGCGCGCCTTGTCCGTCGTAGCTTCCTCCTCCTCCTTCTTCTCCCCACTGCTGTTGTTGGCAGCATCAGCAGCCGATGGGGGCCGATCAAACATGAAGAAGTGACGCTCGTACTGCACCGGCTGGCTCCGTGCAACGGCGGCGCTGAGAGCTTTGAACACCGCCACCTCTCCGTCGTGCTGTGTGCCGCTCGGCCCGTTCTTCTGCAGCAGAATATGCAGGTGGCCCGCCCGCATCGCTCGCGCCGTGCGGCCCGCGCGGTGGACGTACTGCGAGAGCGTCTCGGGTGGGCTGTACATAATGACGTGGCCAACGTTCGGCACGTCAACGCCGCGCATCAACGCATCAGACGCGACGACACAGGCGTCAGGCGACGACTTGAGCAACGCACGCCGCCGTTCGTTCTCCGTCGCAAGCGTTGTGAACTCCGTTGCCTGCACACCGGCGGAGAGGAGGAAGTGCCCCATCACACGCGCCTCATCCGCGGAGCGGCAGAAGACAAGGATGCGCTCACCTGCATCATCATCGCAGGAGGGGTAGTCGCAACTCGACACGGTGGCAAACTTCGATGTGCGGCCCTGGCGGCGTCGACGGTGTCCGAGGGCGCGGAACTCCGCGTCGTCACGTTCCCTTTCCTCATCAGCATCATCATCATCGTGTTCGGCATCGCTGCTGTTGTGTTTCTTGTTGTCTCCAGGCGATGCAGCAGCAGCCCGTGACTCCTCCTGCTCCTGCTGCTGCTGCTTCTGTGCCCCCGACTTGCCGCCGCGCTGTTTAGCGATGATGGTACGAATGAGCTTAAGCAGAACGGCGTGGCGGTACCAATCCTCCACAAAAATAACGTGCTCCTGCAGTCGCAGCGGAAGCGCAAACGAGGTGCGTACAAGCTGCTGCTTCGAAATGGGTAGCGCAACTACCGGATCGTTGTCGTCTTCATCACCCCCTTCCGTCTCCGCAGCACCACGCTTCTTCTTCCTCTTCGTCTTGGCCTCACTCGAGGACACCAGCTGCAATGGCTCGCCCTCGTCCTCGCGGTTTATGTCGCCACCAAGACTGTCCAGCACAAAGTGCCGGCAGTTGCGCAATCGCACCTCTGAGGTGCGTGCGACGTGCGACGAGAGCGTCGCCGAGCAGAGCATCTTGTGCAGACTGTACGTCAAGTGCACCAGCCGCCGCGTACCGACGGCGTCGCCGCGCGCCGCCAGCTGCTCTTCTTCGAAGCGCTCCACCACCTTTGCGACAAAGTTGGAGAAGTTGCCGGCGAGGACCTGGTCGGCCTCATCAATGACGAGGAGGCGCAGGTCGGCGAGCGAGAGTCCGCGCGTGCCGTCAAGGTGGCGAAGCAGCCGCTGCGGGGTCGCAATCACAATATCGGCGCGGGAGTAATAACACAACTGCGAGGAAGGCAGCGCACCAGCACCCTCAGCCCCATCCTCCTCCTCCTCCTCCTCCTCCTCATCGGTTTTCAGAACTGCGTTGCCTGACGGACTCGGCGCACGCGTACCGCGTACGACGGCGACGCTACGCACAAGGGCCTCCGCCTCCTCCTTCACGCTGTTGTCCTTGCAGAGGCAGACAGCAGTGATTGATGTGCCGCGGGTGAGCTGCTGCAGCTCGCGGCTCACCTGCAGTCCGAGGGCCTTCGTGGGCACAAGCACTAGAGCCCGCAGCCGTGTGTGGTCAATACCCTTCTTACACTCCGCCACAAGGCGCAGCATGGGCAGCAGATAGCACAGCGTTTTGCCACTGCCTGTGGGGGCTGTTAGGCAAACGTCCATGGGTAACCCACTCAGGAGTGCGCGTTGCACGGTTGGCACCACCGCTTGCTGCACCGGCAGCGGCTTGTCGTAATGGAGACGCTGCTGCAACGGTTTGAGGAGCCACGCACCACTCTCGCCGAGACAGTCTTCCCATCCAGTTTCCATTATTCGGCTGAGGTCGCCCCCGCTCCGTGAAGAAGAAAGAAGTGCTGTTCGTCCCCCCCACCACTTGGTGCTTTGTTGTTGCTTTTTTTTTTGTTCAAATACTGGTTCTTTACCTGGAGCCTTCCACTATTTTGTTTTGTTTTGCAGCACACTCCCCTTGCTGCTGCTGTTCTTGCTGCAGTCACTGCCGCTGCTGCCCGACCCTGTCTGCAGGGCCCACACACACACACACACACACACACACACAAAGTCACCAACGCCATGCGGCAGAAAGAGAAACAGATGTGAAATGAAAGAAACAAACGCACTGCACTCAAGCATAGAAGCATGAACGTAGATGACTACCACAACCACTGGAGCCATACTCCCTAACCCCCCTTCTTTTTTTTTGTTCTACACGATTTGTTGCTTCAGGAATCGCAGCATTGCGACTCCCCGCCAGCTCTGTGTGAAGACCAAAGAAAAAGAATGTGAATGTGTGAGTGTGAGGTCCACACCCTCGCCCCATCTCCCTCCCCTACGCCCACGCTACAGGTGCGCAAACTGGTACTCGTCGTCTGTCTTCTCAAATATGAACAGCTTCTGCGACGCAGCGTTACGCAGCAGACTTCGCCGGCTCGTCTCTTCGCCACCCCCCACTACCCGCTTCACCGCCATGAAGTGCATGCGCTCCCGCGTGAGACGCACAGCCTGTGCCACGTCGCTGTTCCCGCTTACCTTCGTGTATAGCGGGTGGGCGAAGAAGTCCCGCATGAGTACCCGCTCCATGATGCTGCGCTCCGTCGCCGCCTCGTGCACCGTCACGAGGGCCGCCAGCGAGCCACCGACGGCGGCGGCGTTGCGCGTCATCAATAATCCATCAAACATCACTGCAGCGATGGGAAGTTTGCGCGAGTACGCCGGTACCTCACGCTCCGCGGGTGGAATGTGCGCGGCGAAGAAATCGCACACCGCTTCTCGCTCCGCGCAGCCATTCGCGAGGCGGTGCGTCAGTCCCTGTGGGTCGCGGCGGTCCTCGATTACAAAGGGCGAGTTTTCACTCGCGCAGATGCCCTGCATCGCCGCAAACGCCTCGATGTCGGTACACAGAAGCGGCAGCAGCTTGTAGTGGAAGTGCGGCTGGTGAATCGCCAGGAGCTTCTCGAAGTCCGACACTACGACGTCGCGCGGCAGGCGCGGCAGCGCGGCGGGTGTTGCCGCCATGTGCGTCATGAGTGTGATGCGGCGCAGCTTGTAGCCGCTGAAGACCTCGTCGAAGACGTTCTCGCGGGTGACGTCACCCGAGACCTGGTGAATCAGCAGCGGAATCATCTGCTTGTGCCTCTTCTTGATGAGCGACGCGTACACGTCGCGCTGCATCACTGCCCACCGCTCTCACGCCTGCAGCCCCCACCCTCCTTTGTTTTGTGTGCCTTCACTCACAACTTGTGACCACGACAAGGACGTGGGGCACACAACAACGCAGCGCCGCCGCACTCACCGGTACCGTTACTTCAGCACAGCGAGTGAGTCTACGTGAATCAAAAGAAGCCCACAAGGAGGAGAGAAAACACCAGTGATTCCCACTGCGGACAGGAGTCAAGAAGAAACACACACCAACGCACACACGTACGTATATATAAACTAACTGTGTGTGTGTATGTATATATGTGTGAATAGACGTAATAGAGCCAAAGCAACACTAGCACCAACGCGCTGCTCCCTCTATGGAAATGTCAAGAAAAAAAAGGAAAGCAAAAAACGGAATAACAAACCTATTCTCCTTGGTATATATATATATATATATATACACCAAAAGGGAATCAGCTTGCAGACGATTTCCACTCTTCTCCCCCTCTCAGACTTTGTACGCGTACGTATGCATCTTCTTTTTGTTCGGCTGTCACTCTATGAATATGTATTAAAAAACCAATGGAAATATAAAGGTACCATTCCACTCTGTGTGCCAATGCCGCGCCACCACCGCTCTTCTCTCCTCCTTCTCCATTCACAACCCGTGTTCTACGCAGCTGCCGCCTTGATCGTACAATGTTGCAGCTACACAAGACACCACAGCACCTAAATTTCTCCTTTTTCACCTCGCCTTTTCTTTACAACAGCAATCAATAATAAATTCACTCCCCCCCGTTTTTCCTGCGTCCATTTTTGGTTTCACCGGCCTTTATTTGGAAACGTTATCGTAGCCGCGCATAGACGGCAGAAGACCACGCCGCATCCCACCATTGCGGAAGATGTGCTGATGCAACAGTGCCACGTTCATGGCGCGTGGACGCGACGTAAACATTTTCTGCCGCTTCTGCGCAAGGTGACGCCTGTATGTTGCCTGTTGATCAGCAGTAAGGTCATGCCACGACTTTGCCCGTGTGTCGAGAAGCGGTCGATCAAGGTCGACGGTTTCTGGACTGTTCACGTCACTCTTCGTGATCTCCCGCAGTAGCATGCTAGGGTAAACGCTAGACGGCAGTTCAAAGGATAAGTCCACACTGACATCACTTTTCTGCGGGAGCCAGTAGGGCACAGGGGGCGCCGTGCGCTGCCGTCGTTCACCCTTAGTCAGAGTACTACGACCGAGCAACAAAGACGGTTGTTGCTGCTGCTGACCGTTGCTGCTATTTGTTCCAACTGGGGTACCATGAACACTATTACTAATACTACTACTGCTGCTGCTGCTGTTCCGCGTAAAGGCCCGCCGCACACCGAGGGCCCAGCGCTGATGTGGGTCACCGGAGTGTCCCACCCGCACCCGCCACGTCAATGTTGGGAGCGGATTGATCAGCAAGTGACGGTAGAAACCATAGATGTTTACACCCAGCGGATTACCAGGTGTGACACCCCGGCGTAGATCGCTCCGAAGGTGACCAACATCTGCTAATGAGCCTACTTCTTCTGCAACATCATTGTCGCGGCCGTCAATGGTCTCAACCATTGTAGTGCTGCTACCTAGCTCCTCTTCCATCAGCGCAAAAGAGGAGGAGAAGCGTCGGTACGGTGACGCTGCCATAGTAGAATGTGCCGCCGCGTCCTCGCCGCTAAAACTGCGCCGGGGTCTGAAAATGTCCCACTGTCTTGTCTCAGGGTTGAAGAGAATACCCATGCGCTTCAGTGTTACAATGTACAGGTCGGTTGTGTGGTTTTCAGGGAGTTGCACCCCAACTCCAGGAAGCGGTAGCACCACATCCCAGAAATTGTAATCACTCCTATCGATACCCTTCTTCGTCGCATACTTGACACGGCCGTACTCGGCCGAGTGCGGTGACGCTAAAGGGTTTTGGCGCACAAGGTCACCTGGAAGAATCGCAAATGTCCCGTAGCGCTGCAGTCTCTGGTTGACAATATCGTTCCACACAAATGCAAGGAACTCATGCACCAACATTGAGCACGCCTTTGGCCCAACCACGCGCAAGAACGCCTCCTCACAAGGATCCACCTCCGCCACACCTGCCACCCCGTCCTCTTCATCCTCGCCTAACATCGAAGCAGCCCGTAGTGCATTGTCAAGGATCGACTGTAATGCCGTGCCGTGCGCCGCTATAGAGCGCCGGTTTCTGTGGGATATACTGCGATCTGGGAGATGAAAACCCATCGCCTTGGAGTGGTACATCTTCGCAAAGGCCGCGCCCGTGCGTCGACGCTCCGCCGCGATCTCCGCATCCAGTGCGAACTGCTGCACAATGATGCTTGCCGCCGCGCGGTACTCACCCTTGAGGAGATGAAGACCGGGGTGCATGTTGTGCTTGGTGTATGACGCAAAACGCTGTGGCCCAAAGTAGTTGATGAATCCCTTTTCCTCCAAAGAGCGCATAGCCGGCTTTACAAGTGGCAGGTGACTCTCCGGGATACGGCGCAGCTTTACACGATACGCGTATCCGTCGTTGTCGCCAACACGGAGGTCGTAGGAGGCGCTCTCCACTTCCATGTCAACACAGAGGTACTCAAATATCTTCTCTGTGCTCATACTCGCCACTATCTCCTCCAACGACAAGGTTGTCGCCGCCCGCTTGGATTTCAGCTTCTTCTTGCGGGGCTTCTTGCCACGCGCTCCCGTATCATCGGTGTCATCAACGGAAGTGACACCTTCTACTATGGCCATCTCTGCTGCCTCATCTTCCTGTCGATGCTTGCTGTTGCGCTTCTGACTGATCGCAAGCAGCTGCTCCTTCAGCGTGGGGGACCAGGTACTGGTGTTTTCCAAGTCCACCGCGCTTACACGATCGTGAAACAGCAGCCGTATGTCAGACAGACGGTAGTAGTGCGCGCCCCAGAATTCTCGTTCCTCCTTATCGGCCACCATGCCCTGCAGTGGTCGGAGGGTTTGATGTACACGGAAGCGGCCATTCGCTGTGCGCTGCACCGTGTAACTTGACGGCACACGGTGACCCAATAGCTGGCGTGCTGCTGTGTGGGCCTGAACGTCACTACGCGTGGCGGAAAAAGATAGATTTGATGGGAGTAGCAACGCGGTAACACCACCATCGCTACTGCTACCATTTTCAAGGAGTGACAATCCCTCACGGTCTGTAAAGTGCTCACCTGTTTGCAACGCGCGTGCGAGAGCTTCGACGTGGGCGAGGCAGCTGCCACGAATGCGAATGCGTTGGAAGCCGTGGGCCGCCGCATCAATGACACCGGCGTGAGACACCGTGATTTTCGGAGCNTGCCACGAATGCGAATGCGTTGGAAGCCGTGGGCCGCCGCATCAATGACACCGGCGTGAGACACCGTGATTTTCGGAGCGTATAACACTGGCCGCACCACACTACTGCCTTCCTCACCCTCATCATCTTCATTATAATCACTAGTGGCGGGGTTGCTGCCGCCATTATCAACTATGGCAAGCCGTTGCATCTCCATAGCCTGCCGCTGCAGCTCGGTGAGACTCTCTACGACATCCTCCACCACAAGGCGGTGTGGCAGACCCTTCTTTTCGAGTGTGCACTCCACCACCACAAAGTCTGCCGGGATAAGTACAGTTTTTGCGTGCGACTTGCGCCGCTTGAAGCCCTTCCAAACCGAGTTGTCCCCTTCAACGAGCCCTTCCACCGCGTCTCCCATACTACGAATAGAAGACGCACTCTGTGTATCTTCCTGCTGATGGTCTAACACCATCTCTCTAGCAGAGTCTGTCCCTTCCTGTGAAGGTAAAACATCCCTTTTATTCGCATTCCCAATCTCCAGCTGCGGCCGAACCGACACATACAGGTAGTCAAGATCACCGTGCACGTGCAAGTCCTTCACCAGATGGCCCCACGCACGCCAGACAAGCTGAATCGCCTCCCGCATCGCTGGAATCGCCGGTGCGTCTTCAGAGGTCACCTCCAGAACGGTTCCAGTGGAGGAAGCCACCTTTGCCTTGATGAGATGCAACCATGGAATCTGAGTCGCCTCACCAGTGCTGAGGCCGCACGATTCCTGTTGTCCAGGTCGCATGTTGAGCACAATGGATGACACCGTGGGTAGTGGGTCATGCTGCCGCTTCATCACACGGCCAATGAAACGACGAAGCGCCAGCACACCGTCGACCCCAAGCGTCTGCTGTAGTTGGTAGAGCTCTGGGGAGAAGTACACTTCTATGTGCGCCTTGGGCAGGCGACTCATCGGCAGAACTGTGCCATCCTCCCCCACCAGAGGCTCAGTGTGTTTTGCGATGTGGTACGGGAACTCCGTGCCAAGCTCTTCCTTCTCTATAATGCTACCAGCGACCCAAAGCGAAAGCGAAATATGGTGTTCCTCCGCCCGGAGGCAGAGTAGCGGGCTGCGGAACGCCTCGAGGATGAGCTTATCCTTCTTGTTGCACAGATTCATTGTCAAATTGAGCGGCTCCAGGAGGTGCGAAGACGATGAGAGACTAGTGTAGCCCTTCTCCTTCGCCTCCTTCACGTCATCAACGAGGCGGTCCACTACAGAGTTATGACGGGTTGGAAGCAGTGTGCCGTTCTCTCGTCGCTCTGTGAGCTGCTGTCGCACATCACTTCCTAGAGTGTCGGCGACGCGGGCGAGCTCAGCGAGCACCACCGCGCGGTGCTGTGTGTACGTGCCATTCTCCAAAATGATTTGCCGCCCAATATGGCTCGGCGGCGACGGTGCTATGTCTGCCCTTCCGACAACCCCAGAGTCGCTCTTCTCCGAGGTCGTGACACCTGGTGCTGCTGCTTCTCCTGTAGATGTGCATTGTGTTTTTTCTGCCTTCTCGCTACCTTCAGGTGGCTGCCTTGACAAGCGCCCACCCGTCTCCGCTTCGCTTGCCGTTGATTCTTCTGCATCTCCAAGAGCCTTGCTATTACCGTCACCTTCAGCCACACCGCCACTTTCAATCCGCTCTGTTGCCTTGTCTGTGCCTCGCCAAATTTCCCGTACCACGTAGTCGTCGGGACACGACTTGATGTACGCCTGGAAGCCCTTTACACTTGGCTTTGTGTGACGCACAAGGTGGCACTTGCGTTCCGCCGGCAATCGATTGCGTTGGCGCTGTGCGAGTGTGAGCTCGTGGTAAAGGCCCTGATTGTGGCGTTCGTGGGCGAGGCGCAGTGCCACACGGGACTCTGGGGTGTCGAACTTACTACGCGCATCCTCAATGCTCATTCCGAGGATAAGCCGCCGTCGCCATGAGAGTGTCGCCTTCATCGCGTCGTTCCCCACTCCCCCTTTGTCTTCACGTGTGAGTGAGGGATGCAGCGAGAGGGCACGAGGGGGAGAGAACGCAGAGTTGAACCGCTATGCCTCGTGTTGCTGGAACACAAAGCGAAAACGCGTACTGCTGTTGATGTTGCCGTTGCTACTTCTGCTGATCGGAGCCCTCCCACCCGCTCTCTCTCTCTCTCTCTCTC